GAGAGAGAGAGAGAGAGAGAGAGAGAGAGAGAGAGAGCAACCCCCCACCCCACCCCCCAAATTGATTTCAGGCCCCACAGTTTGCATAGCACTGTGTTCGGAGCAAGGTCTAAGCACTGGGCTGATCCTACAGCCCAAAAGAGAAGGAACACGATCATCTGTCACACCTGCCCTCCACCTCCACTTCTGAAACTACAGGCAGCTCCATTCTGCACAACCAGGAACAGGACAGTGGCATGGATAAAACAAAACAGCAGTTAAGACATAAGTAAGATTTGTAATATGTTTCAGATGGATTGCTTCAGAATAGAGCTATGTTTAATGCTCTGAGGATTTCTGACTGAAAAATGGTCCTGAAGTAAGCCCCCACTCAGGAGGAACTGACAATCTCAGCAGAGATAGCCCTCCCTTCAAAAAGCTTTCCCCATCCCCACCCCCAAATTCGGAGGGTTGCCCCTCCTGCAGGCCCTCCCTGCCCTGCACTAGCTCTGGCAGGTGTCACTGATCACCTGTCTCCTGGGTGGCAGGGCTCACCACTGGACCTGGCCCATGGCAGGCACTTCTAATTAAAAAGCTGCTTGGCATCTTTGCATCTTCCTAAAGAATTCCACATGCAGAGGAGGTAATAAAGAGGATTAGAGTAACACTACTTGCTGCTGATCCAGCAAGCAAAAAAACAAACAAAATCAATATTTTTGTGTGTTCTACCTGGCAAACATTCTGAGGAGCCTGGGAGACAGGGAATGAGACACATAGAAACGACTTCCACAACCACCAGGCGTGGGAAGCAGAGGAGGCTGGAATCACAGCTCTGAAAGATGGTGGCTGGGGGCGCAGAGGCCAAGAGAGGCATCTGATAGCCTTTGTCGGAAGTTTATACTTGATTTGAGACCAAAGAAACACAACTCTGAGGTCCTATTTTGGATGTTGGAGAAGGTGCCTAGGTAAACAGGCACAGGATCGACACGACAGAGCCAGGGTCCTGGCAGGGTTGGCTTGGGGTGGCAGGATGCGCTTGGCAACCCACAGGACTTACTCCTGCCATCCCCTTCCACACCTTCGGCATCTGTGGAATTGCTTAGTGCAGTAGGTGTGGGAGGGTTCAAGATTCAGGCCTGCTGGAGGCCCACAAGCACCAGGGCTTGGTGCCCTCAGGGGATTAGGTTTGCAGCAAAGTGGCGAGCTGACTACAGTGGCACTGTCCCTTCCAGAGTACTTAAAGGAGCAACTGGAGCAGTACGTGAAGCAGCTGCAGATCGTGAGGGTGGTGCGGCAGGAGGAACGGAAGGGCTTGATCACCGCCCGACTGCTGGGAGCCAGCGTGGCACAGGCAGAGGTGCTCACCTTCCTGGATGCCCACTGTGAGTTAAAGAGTGCTGGCCTGGCACCCGGCAGGCCTGGGTATAGTCTGGTCCATCCCATCCCTGTCCCTGGCCGAATGCAGAGCTGTGACCACAGCATCACCAAGCCCGCTTCCTGCTCTGCTGCTCCAAGGAGTGAGGAGGCTTAAGACTCACTCCGGCTTCTTCTAGCCCCTTCTCACCCCAACCTCAGGGAAGTTTTATCAGGAGGCACACACAGCCCTAAAAGAACTGGTGACCCCACAGTTGCTGGGCGTGTGCTCTGAAGTAGCAGACATTTCCGTTTCCCTCGCTCCCCTGACGTGTACCTCATTCTGTACTCAGCCCCTCAGAGAGGCCTCCTGTTACCACTCGGAAGAGACTTGTATGGAGCTTTCCTGTGGCCCCCTGGAGCCAGGAAGGCCTCTCTCTTGCCCCAAACCAGAACACCTCCCACCATTGTCAGGGGGGGAAAAAAAACTGTTCCCCAAAAGTGGTGATATATATTGGGGAAAGCCCTAGACTCGGGAGTCAGGAGACCCGGGTTTGTGTTCTGGCTCTGCCACTATCTGAACCTTAAGTTTCCTCAATTGTAAGATGGGAATGAGGATACCAGTATTACCAACAGAATTATTACTCTGAGGGCCAAAGAAAGTCATAAATACAGTTCACTGAAAATCTCAAAGGGCTAGAGACAAATGAAAGGGATTATTCTTCTACAGCTGGAGCTGAAGCTTGAGATGAGATACCCCTGGGAGAGGAGATATCTGCCTCTGAAATCTACACTTGGGTGGGGAGGGCTGATTTAGTGGGTAGGCTGGGAACCCAAAGACCCCCATCCAGGGCCTTCCCTGTGCTTTGGGATCATTTGAGTTGACCATGTTACTCCCCTGAGACCTTCCTTCTCCCCTCCAAAGCTGCCTCCATCTTTAGGTGGGGGGAAGGGAGGTAGGAGGTTCTCAGGTCTCTCTACAGCTGTGGAGCCTGCCTGTGTTTCTCTGCCTATAACTAGGAAGTGGATGGAGGGTTCTCATGTCCCCCTGGGTCTCCCTGATGGCGTGGGGCATGGGCACAGCTGTGGGCAGGACCCTGACAGCTGGCTCCTGGTCTGGGCCTGCAGGTGAGTGCTTCCATGGCTGGCTTGAGCCCCTCCTGGCTCGCATCGCCGAGGACAAGACAGCGGTGGTGAGTCCGGACATCGTCACCATTGACCTTAACACTTTCGAGTTCTCCAAGCCCGTCCAGAGGGGCAGAGTCCATAGCCGTGGCAACTTCGACTGGAGCCTGACCTTCGGCTGGGAGACGCTACCTCCACATGAAAAGCAGAGGCGCAAGGATGAGACCTACCCCATCAAGTAAGGACCACAGCCTGGTGAGCCCCCAACACCGGCTCCATGACCCCAGACCCACCCAGTGCTAGGGACCTGGGCCATCTCAGGTCAACATTTATTTATTAGGTGCCCTATCGAGCACTTGACATATTTTAGTTAATCCTCATCCCATATGATAAGCCTGTTTTATTGGTGAGAACACTGAGGCTCCTAGCGAGAAACGAGGGGCCTCAGATCAGGCAGCTAGCTAGTGGTGGAACAAGGATACCCGTCCTGGCCTGACTGACCCAAGCCCATGCTCCTAACCATAGCATTACACTGCTTGCTGTTCTCCACCACTTACTGTGTGCCAGGCACTGGACAAGGGCTTTCCACACTTTGTCTCATGTATTCCTCTCTGCACATATAAGTACATGACTGGTACTTGCAGAGGCGCTGAGAGATAGTGGGTAGAGGCCATTGTTGAATAGCCATTATAACAAGAGGGGGTGGCCTTATTTTTGAGAAGACTGAGAACATATTAAACAAACGTAGAGAAGTGTTCTACAGTTTGCAATTGCCCCGAATATTTTCAGTAAAGGGCCAAATAGTAAATATTTCAGGTTTGCCAACTACATACAATCTGTTGTATATTATTCCTTATTTGTGCTTCTTTTAAACAATCCTTTAAAAATGTAAACACCATTCTTTGCTCCAGAGCCTGATAAAGCCAGGCCAGATTTGGGCCCCAGGTCACAGCTTGCCAACCCTGAGCTAGAGGGTGGATACGGGCAAGTTACCCGTTGTTTAACTCCCACCTGGGCTTACCTTCCCCTCATACACCCATTCTGCCCTTCCCTCCCTAACTACCTGTTGGTGTTAACAGAGGCCACAAGTTTTATGTGAACAGATGTCTCAGCCAAACTGAGTTGGGGAGTGACTTTTAGAGCATGCTGTGGTTTGGAATTATCTGCCATTGTTTTCCTATACGGGCCAGGAAACTTGAGGGCCAACTGAATATATATCAGCGATGGAGGGAAGCGGAGAGTGGGGGTACAGTGAGCAGAGGTGAGAAGGAAGGCTTGAAAGGAGAGAGGGTTGGAGTTCCTCCCACGCCACGTGCCCAAATCCTAAGAAATGCTGCTCAGAGTCTCAGGAGAGAGGGCTTAGGTGAGTGCCACAGGAAGGGGTCCTGTGGATCCTAAACAGCCACCTGCTCTGCCTCTATTAGGAGGAGGAGAAGCAACAGAGGGGGAAAAGGAAAAGAGAAGGCAGGAGAGAGAAAAGAAATTGGAATTCCCTGTTGACCGTCTGCTTGTGTCGTGTCATAGATGTCTTTTGTTTGGTGTGTACAGCAAGAAAGGCCCCCTCCCCCAAGCTGGGGGCCAGGCACACAGTAGCACAGTCAGGGCCCGGGCACCTGGCCACCACCCATCACTGACATCCCCGGCTCCGATGTCCAAGGACCATACAACTGGAAGATAAAGCTCCAGTGTTTGAGGAATGAATTTGCTCGCTGGTCCAGTGTTTGGGGAATGAAATTGCTCCCTGGTGGTATGCATGGCTTACCCTTAGTCCTATGCACTCTACATAGTACCCCACCAGGAGGCCTTCAGGCAGTCCCCTCCCATCCTCCGCTCTGAAAGCCAGCAGGAAGCTGAGAGAAGAGGAGGCTTAGGATTTAGAGAATCCTAAGAAGTAGACCAGGAAATACAGGCTTTGTTGCCTTTTGGTTGTGGGTCTGCAGTGAAGTTCTCTGTGTGGGTTTAAAACCCCATAAAGGTAGTTTGTTGATAGCTCCTCGGTCAGAGAGACCTCTCAAAGCCAAGAGACAGGCCCAAGTCAGGGAGACCCTCAAGAAGAAGCAGGTTAGCTCCAAAGTGCTCGTCTGGAGTTCTGGGACTCTGAGCCTTTCTGGGTCTTACTAAGACTGGCATAGGACCCCTGGGAGAGGTCAGAACCCATGACAGAAAGCCTGCGTGAACTTGAGGGTTTCCCAACTGAAATTCCTTTCAGAAAGCAGCTAAAGGAGCCAACTTCAGGGCAACAGAAGCAGCCACAAGGTAACACCAAGGTCAGGCTCCTGCGTAGTCACCTTGACAGATCAGTCCAGTGAACACTGATGGAGTCCCTGCTGTGTGTAAAGCACTTTGATCAGCTCTGGGCTTACAGAGAAGGTGTCAGTATCTTTCTGTCCATATGTACTATATGAAGAAGCAACAGAAGGGGGCAACAAAGCCACATCCAAGCAAGCCTGGCTCCCACACAGCTGCCAACAGCTACTGATTATATATCTGATAATCTGCCCCTGTCTCGCCCAGCACCTACGCCCACCTTCAACCCTTAGCGCAGTCCCTCCTATGAGCAACGTGGTATCTAAATTCTAGGAATGAGACATTTTTGTCAATCTGTCTTCATATGGGTCTGTGCCTCCCTGCTTTTGTCTGAAAGCCAGAATCTTTTTGTTACCTCCAAGTGCGCCTTTTACTGCAAGTGAACCTGATGTCATCTCACTTCCTACCCTGTTTCCGGAGCACCTCTTATCACGTCCCTCTGTTCAAAGCAGCAGGCAGATTTTCCCCAAAGCTAAAGTTTCTCACGCAGTACTAAGCACCAGGGCTGGGCTCCTAGTAAAACTGTGACTTTCTAGTCCCTGAAGGGCCAAGGACCCTGAAAGAAAACGGGGTCAGTCCAGCTCATAATATTCATTCCTGGTTTGAATCCTCTTCTCAAAAACAATTTCACACAGCTTCATTAGAATAATAACCGAGTATTTACTATGCTCCAGGAACCTTGATGCCAAAAAGCAAATGATGGTAGCTTTACCCTGTGCTACTAGACTATGCGCTCAGAAAATGGGATATCTTTTTTAGCTCAGTATGCCTAACATGTAGCCTTAACAGGCCCTGGTGGCTGGTGTTTATTGCACCCTTGGTTGAATGAATGAATGAGTGCCTTTTAAAAGAGAGTATAATAATTGCATCTACCTTTGACCTGGTTCCTAGAAGGTGAAGAGGACATAATAAAAGCTCAGTAGGGGGCCGGCCAAGTGGCACAGTGGTTAAGATACTGGCTTGGGACGCCAGAGGGCCCCGGTTCGGATCCCACATATAAGGGCCAGTGACACTGCCCTCCACAGCTAAGATGCTGAACAACAGCTCAATCTGGAGCTGGGCTGCTGTTGAGTTGCCGGCGACAGCATAGGCTGCAGCCCCTGTGGCAGTGGGTTGCCATGGGCTACCGTGTGTAGCCAGCAGCCAGCATGAGTGGCCAGCAGCTGCAGTGAGCGGCCGTCCAGAAGCCAGCGACTGATGTGCCTCGCCTGGGAAGAGCGCAATAATGGTGCCAACTTGGGCCAGTGAAGCAACGTCCTCCACAGCTAGACTGAAGAACAAAATGACAGCAACTTGTCTGTTCCCCTTTCCCCAATTCCCCAGCGCTGTTCCCATTTCCCCAATTTAAAAAAAAAAATCTTAAAAAAAAAAAAAGCTCAGTAAACATTTGCTGAATGAGTAAGTCAGTGGAAGAGGGGCTGCACATCCCAGAAAAGGGGTTGGGGGTAGGTTAGGAGGCGACAGCGGTGAGTCCCCAGCTTTCCACACCAGGGTCCCACTCCTCTTCACCCCAGAAGATACACATGCTTCTCCCTCTGTCTCTCCAGATCCCCGACGTTTGCTGGTGGCCTCTTCTCCATCTCCAAGTCCTACTTTGAACACATCGGTACCTATGATAATCAGATGGAGATCTGGGGAGGGGAGAACGTGGAAATGTCCTTCCGGGTGAGAGTGAAGAGGGCTTTGAGGGGGGAACCGCCACGTCCCAGGGGACAACCTGAGAGCCTGTGTCTTAGGCAGCAGAGCCTCAGGGATATGACACCTGCAACTGAACTGAACAGGTGGCTGTTTCCTGTCATGGCTCCACTTTCCCTCTACTCCTCCCATCTCTGGCAGCAGGGCTTTGGGAATCAGGTGGACAACTTGAAACCAATTAGTAGGCAGAACTCCTGAGAGAGAAGGGGTAAAAGGAACTGGACACTGGGGACTGGTGACCTCTTTCAGGATGTCTGTCGGAAAAGGGTTAGACCCTGGTCAGGGCTTAATGGTGAGGACCCTGGAACAGGTCAGTAAGCAGTCATTATCCTCTTTCTAGAAAAATCAGTCTCCCCTTTCCAGGCCAGAGGACACATGCCCTGGTAGTCTTTGGAGTTTTCCTACCCTATGCTCGGCAAGTTGTTCATACTGTAGGAGAAAGATGATGGTGGCCCAAATACTGGTGGACCCCAGAACTCTGAGAGGTTCCAGGAAGAAGGCCAACCAGGATTAGGTTAGGAAGAAAGGAGTGCCTCTCCATGAATTCGATACAAATCCCCATGCCAGTGGGGAGGTAATTAGTAAGTAAATGAGCTCATTTATGAAGTCACTCCTAAGCACATCTTTAATACCTGCTGTTACTATGATTATATATTTGTGTTGCTACTATACTGAAATGAACAACATACCTCCTAATTTAAAACCTAAAAAGAGAAGACAAGTGGGAGGGCTTAAACCAGCCTACTAGCATACATAAGTCACCAGCTCAGTCACCATAACTCCCAGGGTTCTGATTCTAGACTCACCCATGAGCCTCTGACCCCTGTTCAGTCTCTCTCCTAGGAAGCTAGTGTGCTAAAGGTCCAGGGGACTACCACAGGCCACCTGGCAGTTGCCTATCCTTGATATAATTAATGCACTGGTGTTCTGACTGGGTCATAAAACTATCTTGATTTGAGGGAGTTTGAGATTCCAGTAACACCTGGGTGAGCTGATAAAATCAGCTCCAAGTCAAAACGCCAAGTGTCCGAAGCTCAAAATATGTATATGGACACAAAGTTTGCCAAACTGTCTTTTCTCTAAAGTGGGACTTGGTAACTCTTAGAACCCTGCAAATCAGAGTGAACCAACTTCAGAGAGCGAGGGATTGTGTAGTCATGACCTAGGAAGAACCCTGGGCAGTGTCCTTTTTTCCAGGAGAGAGCAGCATTTCCTTGAGTCCTTGAACCTGGGGTCGGGTGCTCTGGAACTGGAACGGAGCTGTCTCGGCGGAGACTGTCATACCCAGCCCCATGAAGGCCCCATCTGTGTCCTCCTGTTGTAGGTGTGGCAGTGTGGGGGCCAGCTGGAGATCATCCCCTGCTCTGTGGTGGGCCACGTGTTCCGTACCAAGAGCCCCCACACCTTTCCCAAGGGCATCAATGTCATTGCTCGCAACCAGGTGCGCCTGGCTGAGGTCTGGATGGATGGCTACAAGGAGATTTTCTACCGGAGAAATATGCAGGCAGCAAAGATGGCCCAAGAGGTGAGAAGAAATGGTGCTCTGGAGGTGTTTGGATGAAGAGAAGTACAGATCCCAAGCCTTGATCAAGGGCTTAGTGGTAGAGGCCCATCCATCACTACCATCTGGTGCCTCCCTTTATCCCTTTAACATTGTGAAGGTTAAAGAGCCCAGGAGGCTAGAGAATGAGGAGAGGACCTTTGTTGTCCTTGCCTAGAGAACCCCAGCTTCTTTTAGGAGGGGAGGGTAAAGAGATTTGGAGGAAGCACCTCTTACAGGAGCAATGACTTTGCTCTGAGAGGCTCAGATTGGGGGGCTGGGAGAAAATTCACTGGGAAGTGAGTGACAGGAGATGAGGGAGTAAGGGCTATGGGTGGGGGCCCCAAACCCAAGACGGGGTTTGGGATTGATTTGAGGCTGAGTCAGTAGCTCCAGCAGGTCCTGAGCAGGGATGAGCCTGAGACCCATTCTGGGAGAAGGCGGCCCCAGGAACTCAGAGCTACTTCAACCCAGACAGGAAGGTCCAGGCTGGTGGAACTAACTGTTAGGGTGCTGGCTTCGTTGACAGAAATCCTTCGGTGACATTTCGGAACGACTGCAGCTGAGGGAACAACTACACTGTCGTAATTTTTCCTGGTTCCTGCACAACATCTACCCAGAGATGTTTGTTCCTGACCTGAAGCCCACCTTCTACGGAGCGGTGAGCCTTGAGAACCAACTTGCCTACCCATCATCACAGATGCCCCTAGAGAAGTTCAGGACCCTTTACTCCACAGAGGGATGACGAACGAGAGTGATTTTTACTTTCCACACTCCTTTATCCAGAAAGACTTTAGGGCTTCTAGAGATAGCTGAAATCCTAGTAAGAGGAAGACAATGCCCATAAGCATGGCTCTCAAACACCAGCATCAGAATCATCAGGAAGGAGTGTTAAAACAGACTGCTGATTCAGCAGGACTGGGGTGGGTGGAGCCTAAAAATGTGCATTGCTAATGAGTTCCTAGGTGATGCTGATGGTCTGGGGAATCACATTTTGAGAGCCATTTGCCCCTCAGGAAATTCACCCGTACTGGGGGCTTCTCCCAGGGACCTGGCAGCCTGGGAGGTTGCCCAGCCTGCGTTGGCCCAACCTCTGGGCTGTGCACCTCCCTTTGCTGTGAACGCCAGGCATCAGGGCTAATGAGCAGAAAGGATGCGCAGAGGGGAAAACTCAGCGGCGAAATCCAGTCATGCACATTTATTCCAGCTGGGCCCAACACCACCAACTAAACAACTCCTGACTGTGCTGTCCTGATTCCCCTCTCTGCTCACCATTCTGCAGATAAAGAACCTCGGCATTGATCAATGCCTGGACGTGGGCGAGAACAACCATGGAGGGAAGCCCCTCATCATGTACACCTGCCATAACCTGGGCGGCAACCAGGTATACAGCCCCACTCTCCCCGGGCAGGCCCGAGACAAGCCTGCCTCTGGGCCATCTCCTCTCTTCACTCAAAATAGTCCTTGCCTGAGGAATAGGGTGGGGGCTATCCTGAGAGAGGAGGACATACCACCCTCACACTCAGAAAGCTCCCAGTCTGAGGGGGACTGCATGATCCAGACAGACAAGGTCTGAAGTCTGAATTAGGGACATCCAGAGAGCACGGGCCATCAGTGCTGGGTGCTAGAGAGGGATGGAGGGGAGAACTGCTTATCAGAGAAGGCTTGCTGGAGGATGCCAGATGCTAAGTGATGTTTTAGGGTAAGTGTGGGAAAATTTTAAGCATTTTCCCTTACCTTCGTACTTCTATCTTCAGTGCCTCCCCTGCCCAGAAATACCACTGTGCTCCTACCACCCAAAAATGACCCCCAAACAACCACCTAATGACATCTCAGTCGCCTGGCATCCTGAGAGTTTACACTATGCCCTACAGTGCCCCAGTTCTTCCCTGAGGAGTGACGAGTAACCTCCCTGACGCCAGTCCCTCGATCTACCCTGAATGCCCAGTGTTTGGTAAGGAAGAAGCACTTGAAGCATAACTGAAGCAAGGAAAGGAGTGGCTTGGGACACTGAACAGGCTGCCAGTATATACCTATGAAGACCAAGTCATTCTAAAGCAATTCCCTGTACCACTGGCCTGCACAATGATTTTAGGTGGTATTAATACATTGGTGAACATTTTTTATTTTAATAGTAACCTATTAACTAAAAAGCACTAGCGTATCAAACAACATGGCTTTACAGATAATGCTTAAAATGAAGCTAAGTTAAAATTTTAAAGAAAAAAAATATTAAGAAACTATTACTCCAGTATAACCCAGATATGGTAAAAAAACAAACAAACAAACAAACAAAAAAACCCTGAAAGTGACACATGAATTACTGAAGTCTTGGCACCCACTCACGGTCCTCCCCAGGAGGCCATCTGTGGTTGGCATCTTAGGGCAGATGGCTTTGGAAAATGTTGGGCACACTCTCCGCCTGTTCCTCAGAACCTCCTCTTGTCTTGACTTCTAGTACTTTGAGTACACAACCCAGAGGGACCTTCGCCACAACATCGCAAAGCAGCTGTGTCTACATGCCAGTGCTGGCACTTTGGGCCTTAGGAGCTGTCACTTCACTGGCAAAAACAGCCAAGTCCCCAAGGACGAGGAATGGGAATTGACCCAGGTGAGTTAGATGCCCAGGCAGCTCAGCATCAAGAAGCTGAGACCGCCACTGCCCCGCTCATTTTCTGCATCTTCTGCCTGAGGACAGTATAGAAAGCATGGAGAGTGTGGGCTGGATCACAGGCAGCGTTCCTGGGGCTTAAGTAATATTTGGTGATGGCTGGTTCTGGCTGATAGAAAGATGTTGTCAGGGGTTATGGTGCATGGCCAGCTCTGTCATGGTTTAAGTATTTTTAGACTGAACCTATGCAGATGAAAGTGAAGGGGCACTCATGGTTCCTGCCTGCCCTCTGTGTGCCAGGTGCAAAGCTGTGCACGCACAGATGTTGGTTTGGTTAATCTTGCGGAGTCTCTTCCCAAGTAGGTGGTGTCCCATTTCTACAGATGAGCCAGCCGAAGCTCAGCAAGCTGGTGACTATGCCAAGATCCATCGCTAGTAAATGGCAGGCCTCTGGGATTCAGACCTAGAGAAGTCTGACTTGACAGCACAGGTTCTCTCCATTACACCGCATTGCCTGAGGATTTATAGTGTAATTTCTACAGTACTGGGCTCAAACTAGCACCCCCGGTGAGCCTCCACACCCCAGTCTTCCCCAACACCCCGTCTCTGGCTTAGGGGAAGAAGAGCCTACCCCTGGGATTCAGAAAAGGGAGAAGTCTAAATGTGATCCCAGGCAGAAAGGGGGGGCGGGCAGCGGTGGCCCAGGACTTGAATTAAGACTGGCAATCTGGAGAAGAGGCCCCTGAAAGCACTGCCGTTATTCCAGCCATGCAGGCTAACGCTAGGGATGGGGAATTGGCACCAGACACAGGTGGAAACTCAGGAACGCGTCCCTTCAGAGTGTCTGGTATCCAAGGAGAGGAATTTGGAGGTATTCTNAAGATCCATCGCTAGTAAATGGCAGGCCTCTGGGATTCAGACCTAGAGAAGTCTGACTTGACAGCACAGGTTCTCTCCATTACACCGCATTGCCTGAGGATTTATAGTGTAATTTCTACAGTACTGGGCTCAAACTAGCACCCCCGGTGAGCCTCCACACCCCAGTCTTCCCCAACACCCAGTCTCTGGCTTAGGGGAAGAAGAGCCTACCCCTGGGATTCAGAAAAGGGAGAAGTCTAAATGTGATCCCAGGCACAAAGGGGGGGCGGGCAGCGGTGGCCCAGGACTTGAATTAAGACTGGCAATCTGGAGAAGAGGCCCCTGAAAGCATTGCTGTTATTCCAGCCATGCAGGCTAACGCTAGGGATGGGGAATTGGCACCAGACACAGGTGGAAACTCAGGAACGCGTCCCTTCAGAGTGTCTGGTATCCAAGGAGAGGAATTTGGAGGTATTCTTTTTGTACCTTGTTGGGTTCCTTTGCCTTTTATCTGTTGTCACCATCTTGTTGGTCCCTAGTAGTACTGTTAGAGGTCTGAGGCCCAGGTTGACCTTTCACTGTGTCATCTTTTAGGACCAGCTCATCAGGAACTCAGGATCTGGTACCTGCCTGACGTCTGTGGACAAAAAGCCCGCCATGGCCTCCTGCAATCCCAGTGACCCCCACCAGCACTGGCTGTTCATCTAGGCCTCGGAGCGTTCCCCATGGGAGTTCCCACATGCCTCTCAGGAAATAGTATCTTTTGGGAACCCAATCATCAGCTTCTCTGCAGGCCTTCAAGATGGATTTCAAAACCAAATTTTGGATATCAAGGCAGGACCTACCTACTCCTTGCAACAACATTGGGCCCATTTTCTTTCCTCCACGTTGACGGAAGAGACTGTAAGAACACATAATACTTGGCCTAGAGCGTTCCTTCTGTCCTAGAAACAGACTTCCAAAACAGAGAAGGCATTTGGGATAGGGCCCAGGGCAGCAATGCTGAATTCAAAACAAGTACCTCTGCAGCCACGTCCTGAAGCCCTGGTCATCAGAGCACCCACAGAATCTAGTAAAATCATATATTCTCACAGGGATGAGAGGCCGAAGAGAATCCCCCTTGCTAGTAGTACCCAAAGTTTGTAGAGCCATTTACAGTTTACAGAAAGCACCCTGACGGGAATCCTTTATCTTACTTCATCTGCACAGGAATCCTGTGAGAAAGAGCAGGAACCACCAGGTCAGAAAGCTGAGGCAGGGAGGAGTCAAGGAGCTTGTTGACAGTCCCACAGCTAGAGGATGGCTGGAGCGAGCCAGGCTTGATCTTGACCACTGAACCAGGGTGCCTTCCACCACACCACAAGAACACTAGACAGCTCGCCATCAGCCTTCCTGTTCTCTCTTCCCTCCATTCTGATCATTTCTGGCTGGCTGGTCTCCATAAAGCCTAGAACAGGGGAGCGAGGGAGCCATAAGGGAGATCACATCTGGGAATCCTGGGATGTTAGTGTTAGAAGAAAACTCAGGAGCCAGTGATTCTCAGGTTTGTTTGTTTGTTTCTTGTTTTTCTTGTTTGTCTGGAAATTAGAAGTGGATGTGCAGGAGAACAAGCTGTGGGATGACAGTCGATTCTCAGGTTTTAAGTCCCAGAGCCCTTTTTCCGATGCCCCATACATACTGTAAATAAAGGGCAGAGCAGCCACAGGTGAAGTTGAGGGTGGGTGAGGGCAATGCCCACCAGCCCCTGATCTTCTAAAGTTCTGTAAACACAATTTGAAAACTCGTAGTTTTAGTCCAACCTTATCATTTTCATATTATGAAACCAAGGCCAAATAAGTGAAGTAGTTGGCCCAAGGCCACACCGCAAGGCACTGGCAGCCCTGAGGCCAGGACCCAGATAAGGATAACAGCCCTGGGAAATCTGAGGAAGCGGGGACAGTGTGTAGTCAGTCGAGCATGACTGGCCTTGTCTGCTGTACTTGCATGAGGTCCCCACGTGGAACAGATCTGACATGCATGTCAGCTCCTTCCCAAGCAAACTGGACCCCACACATAGGGCTGCTTTGCCTGAATCAAGAGAGCCCAGCTGCTAGAAGAGGACTCACATTCCTTGCAAGAGGACTTCTGACTTTCAGGTGCAGGCTGTCATCTTGGGCATCACCACGTGAGGGTGCCATGGAACCACAGCTGCCTTTTTCCCAGCAAGTCAGTACTGCAGGAAATCTAGGTCCCTGAGAGCCTGCAGAGGAAACATTCTGGGGCAGCCCAGCCAAAGAAACAGAGTGGCCAGGATGTGACCTGGAGTAGGGAAAGGGAAAAATTCTTCCCCAGAAAGAGAAGAGAATTGGACATGAGATCCCAGTGGAAATAAAGGTTTTATGGCATTGGTATAGGGAGTTTGTGTTGGGTTCTTCTTCTCCTGTATTGTCCCTTAGCTGATCCATTTGGAGAATCAGTTGATTCAAGCTGTGAAGAACTATACACATCTGAAAAGTTGTCACAGTCACTGTCTCTTGTCCCCAAATATCCGTTGGCCCCCAATCTAGCCAACGTACTGTGTGTCAAGCCCATGTAGACATGAGTTATAAGATAAGGCTCTTACCCTGTGGAACTCACACTCTAGCTGGGAAAACAGAGATGCAAGCAAGTCATGACAAGCCTGGACATGTTCAGAGATGTGCTAGGTGTGTTAGAACAATTCCTTCCATTTAGGGGAATCAGGAAAGGCCTCACAAAGCTGGTGACATTTGACCTTAGACCTCAAAAGATGAGTCTTCAGATGAGAAGGATTCACTATGCCGAGACCTCACAGGAGCAACAATCTAGCATGAGAAAAGTCACAGAGGGACAAAGTTACAAGTGGATCTGGGAAACCAAAAAGACGTCAGGGTGAGAGAGTAGAGGATATAGAAGCTAAGAGATCAGGGCCACATTATGACTTACATAGGCACTTTGGCCTTCATAAAAAAAAAATATTTAAAATTATCTTTTACCACTGCATTGGTATAAAGATGAATATAATCCAGGCTGATGCTATTCATTTCATTTCTTCTGATTTTAAAAAGAAACTAAAACGTTTTTGGGGGCCCCTAAAAGTATTCTGGACCCTAAGTACTGTGCCTACTGTGCCTACTGGGTAAGTCAGCCCTATAGAACAATGGGTTGGGGCCCAATTGCGAAGGCTGTGAATGCCATGCTAATAGGTAAGCTATATGGAGCCATAGTCCCGAACTCTAATCCTAGCCCTACTCCTGGCTGCATTAAACATCCAATCATTGATCAGGCGTTGATTATTTGCCATTTATCCCAGTATCCCTCATGCAGCCTGTAGCATCACCCAACAGCTTCCCAGCTCAGTCCTATGAGCTATGTCTAACCAACATGCCCTGTCCTATGATCTAATGGGTCGTCGGAAAAGTCATGACACATTTTTGCACCGAAAAACATAGAAACATACGTCATAACTTTTCCAACGACCCAATATGTCTAACCATGGTGCCCCGATGTGGTTCCTCACCCCCTACCCCAAACAGCATAGCCTCTCCCAGGGACTAAGAGTAACTCACAGGGAGTGAGAGATGCAGTAGAAGAGAGAAAAGGTCACATGCCAGGCCTCTAGAGTAGGCCCAGGTTTCAGGGTGAGGAAGGGACTAGGGAAGAGAGGTAGTCAAGAAGAGGGAGAGAGCGCTGATGGGTGGTGGGAAGGCTCAAGAAACCAGCTTCCGGGCCTCTCTAGCCAAGGCTGGACTGGCCCTAACCTGACACCTGCACTCTTCCTTAAAGCTACCCCTCTGAGCATTCTCAGAGCTAACCCAAAACCCTAATGCTAGCCCTGTGCTACTATCTCCTGGTTCCAGCAGACTTGCCTGAGCATTGAATGGCTGGGGATCTATTTCCCACTTACAGAGTATTGGTGCCATTGCCAAAAATAGCTAAAAGTCCCGGAATTTATTCTTTAGTTATTTTTAACCACAAAAGTAATGCTGTAGTGAAGTCAAATAATACAGAAAAATATGAGTAAAAAGTGAAATTTATCCTCGCAATGCCCCTATACCTATTGATTCATTCTCTAGATGTAATAACTTTACAGCTTGGTATAAACCCTTCCATACCATTTTTCTATGAATCTACAAATATACACATACTGTATTGTTTGCAATTTGATTTCTTCATATTAAAGACATCTTTTCATGTCAGTTCATTTAAGTCCAACTCATTCTTTTTAAAAGCTGCACAGTATTCCATAATATGGTTAAACCCAATTTCTTTAACCTTGTCTTATTGATGAATACTTACATTTTCCCTAATTTTGCAACAAACTTTGTAACAAACTATACTATACAAAGGTTTTTTTCCATTATAGCTGACATTCAATATTATATTAGTTTCAGGTGTTGCACATAGTGATTAGACATTTATATAAGTCTAGTACCCACCTGGCACCATATATAATTATTACAATATTATTGACTATATTCCCTATGCTGTACTATATATCCCCATGACAATTTTTAACTGGCAATTTGTACATCTAATCCCTTCACGTTTTTTACCCATCCCTCCAACCCCTCTCCCATCTGGCAACCATCAATTTGTTCTCTGTATCCATGGATCTGCTTCTGTTTTTTTCTTAGATTTCACATATAAGTAAAATTATATGGTATTTGTCTTTCTCTGTCGGACTTATTTCACTTAGCATAATATCCTCTAGGTCCATCCATGTTGTTGTACATGGTAAGATTTCATTCTTTTTCATGGCTGAGTAATATTCCATTGTATATTTGTACCACCTCTTCTTTACCAATTGTCTATTGATGGGCACTTAAGTTGCATCCATATCTTGGCTATTGTAAATAGCACTGCAGTGAACACGGGTGCATATATCTTTTCGAATTAGTGTTTTGGGTTTCTTCTGATAAATACCCAGAAGTGGAATTGCTGGGTCATAAGGTAGTTCTATTTTTAATTTTTTGAAGAACTGCCATACTGTGTTCTCCATAGTGGCTGCACCAATTTGCAATCCCACCAACACTTGTTGTTTGTTGATTTTTTTTATGATAACCATTCTGACAGGTGTGAGGTGATATCTCATTGTGGTTTTTGTTTGCATTTCTCTGATGATTAGTGATGTTGAGCATCTTTTCATATGTCTATTGTCCACCTGAATGTCCTGTTTGGAAAAATGTCTATTCAGGTCCTCTGCCCATTTTTTAATCAGATTGTTTATTTTTTTGGTGTTGAGTTGTATGAGTTCTTTATAAGTTCTGGATATTAACCCATTGTCAGATGTATCATTGGTGAATATCTTCTCCCGTTTGGTAGGTTGTTTTTGTTTTGTTGATGGTTTCCTTTGCTGTGCAAAATCTTTTTAGTTTGATGTAGTCCCATTTGTTTATTTTTTCTTTTGTTTCCCTTGCCTGAGGAGATATATCCAAAAAAAGATTACTAAGAATAGTGTCAAAGAGTTTACTGCCTATTTTCTTTTAGGACTTTTATGGTTTCAGGTTTTACATTTAAGTCTTCATTTTGAGTTTATTCTTCTATATGGCATAAGAAAGTGGTCTAGTTTCATTTTTGCATGTATCTGTACAGTTTTCCCAACACCATTGATTATTAATAATAGACTGTCTTTACCCCATTGTGTATTCTTGCTTCCTTTGTCATAGATTAAGTGACCATATAGGTGTGGGTTTATTTCTGGGCTCTCTATTCTGTTCCATTGATCTATGTGTCTGTTTTTATGCCAGTACCCATGCTATTTTGATTACTACAGCCTTGTGGGATAGTGTGATATCAGGTAATGTGACACCTCCAACTTTGTTTTTCTTTCTCAATATTGCTGTGGCTATTCGGGGTCTTCTGTCATTCCATATAAATTTTAGGATTATTCTAGTTCTGTGAAAAATGCCATTGGTATGTTGATAGGGATTGCGTTGAATCTATAGTTTGCTTTGGGTTATACTATACAGTTTTGTGACAAACTATAATCCACATCCTTGTACATTAATTTTTGTGCTGTGTTTATTTCAAAGGGATGCATTCCTAGAATTAGAATTGTTTTCAGAAGAAATACAGTGCCTTGAAAATTAAGCCAGACTTCTGGTCAAGATGGCAGAATAGGTAAAGGCTGTGCTTGCCTCCTGCCACAACCACATCAAAATTACAACTAAATTATAGAACCACCACCTTTCGAACCACCTGAAGACTAGCTGAACAGAACTCCTATAACTATGGATATAAAAAAGCCACATCGAGACTGGTAGGAGGGGAGGAGATGCGAAACGGGCTGGTCCCACACCCACATGTAGTGGTTAAGAATTGGGAGGGATCTCTCAGCTGTGGAGGTCCCCTCTGAGGAGCAGAGTCCCAACCCCACACGGGGTTCCCCAGCCCAGAGCATCAGTACTGGGAAGAGGAGTCCCCACAAAAGCTGGCTGTGAAAATCAGCAGGGACTTAGTCTGGATGAGACAGAGGGCTGCTGCTTACCTAGGCATCCTCTTAAAGGGCCCAAGCTCACTGACTCACACTCGCCCTGAGCTCCAGGAAAGGGACTGCAGCTCAAAAAGTGCCAGTGACATAGGGGAAGGAACTGAACTGATTAACTTCATGGTGAGGACTGGTGGGGCAGCTCTTTCTGGGACTAAAGTGCCACAGGAGCCATTGTTTCTTTGTTGAGCCCTTCCCCATATAGCCTGCAGGTGCTGAGGGTTGCCTAATCTGTGTCTCTGACAACTAGCTATAGCTGTTAGCCCTACTTTGTGGATTCCCTGAGACCCCTCCCCATGCAGTTCACTTGCCCACACAAGCTGCTGGCCTGAGCCTACACTGTGGACTTTCCTAAAATCTCTCAAAGGTGCACAAACTCCAAACAAGCAGCAGCTGGCCTCAGCATACCCTGTACCACTTGCTACGTAGCTCCAAGCCTGGAACTAGGGACAGCTGACCTCAGTTCACAACATAACTGCTCCCAGGCACCTCCAAGCCTAGCACAGGCAGCTACCAACTGCAGACCACTTTGTAGCTCCTACCAGGTGGCCCCGGGCCAGACACAGGCAGTGGCTGACCTTGGCCTGCACTGGAGTCCCTCCCAAAAGGCCTCAGAACCAACACACCTGGTGGCCAGCTTCAGACTACAGCTAGCACAGCCCAACTCGTGCCACAAACAACACACCCAAAGGATGGACTCGGCAGGCACCAAAGCCCCGCTAAAGTGAATCCTGTTCCATGGGGTCAGCCCCTGAACAATAGTTTGTCTGCTATAGTCATGGCCAGTCCACACAGCCAGTCAGCCTGAGGGTCAATCCCACCCACTTCTGTGCCAACAGCAATCATGGCTCAGTTACAACAGGAGGGCACAAACAATTCACACAAGGGATACCCCTGGAGCACCCAGCTCAGGTGAACAGGGAGACTGCACTACTGGCCCCCTCAGGAAACCTACTATATAAGACCATTCTGCCAAGACTTGGAGATGTAGCAGATCTACCTAATACATAAAAACAAACATAGGGAAGCAGCCAAAATGAGAAAACAAAGAAATATGTCCCAATGAAAGAACAGGACAAAACTCCAGGCAATCAAATACAGGCAATTAATCTACCAGATGCAGAATTCAAAACACTGGTTATAAGGACACTCAATGAACTTAGAGGAAGAATAGGTTATCTCAGTGAGAACTTCAACAGAGCTAGGAAACATTTTTTTTTTAAGATTTTTATTGGGGAATTGGGGGATGGGAACAGTGCTGGGGGGTTGGGGGAAGGGGAACAGACAAGATGCTGTCGTTTTGTTCTTCAATCTAGTTGTGGAGGACGTTGCTTCACTGGCCCAAGTTGGCACCATCATTGCGCTCT